TATATATATATATATATATATATATATGTGTATGTGTGTGTATATATGTGTATGTGTATATATATGTGTATGTGTATATGTATGTATGTATGTGTGTATATATATGTACATTTATGCGTATATATGTACATTTATGCGTATATATGTACATATGTGCGTATATATGTACATATGTGCGTATACATGTACATATGTGCGTATATTTGTACATATGTGCGTATATATGTACATATGTGCGTATATATGTACATATGTGCGTATAATTATATGTACATATGTGCGTATATATGTACATATGTACATATGTAATTATATGTACATATGTATATATTATATATATATGTATATGTATATATTATATATGTATATATGTATATATGTATATATTATATATATTGTATATATATTCTATATATATTGTATATGTATATGTATATATATGTATATATTGTATATATATGTATGTATATCTATATATATATATATTTAAACACACACATACACACATGTATATACACACATATATATATATGTTTGTGTATATATTTGTATAATATGTACATATATATGTATATATATAATATATATATATGTATATATATGTATAGGTATAATATATTTATATATATATATATATTTATATATATATAGAATATTACCTCTATAATTGTGTAAATTACTTTATGTAACGAATGAATGGATGTCTAAATGACTATAAATAAGTGTTTAATTATTGTTATGTTTTATCATAGTCAATATTTTATTAATTTAAATTAATTTACAGAAACATGTAAACGATTTCAAGAACATTTTGAGAATTTGCTTGGTACTCTGTTTGAATCAGAAATATCTAAAGTCCAAAAAATTGATGGCAAAGACATGACATGTGGTCGCTTATGTGCTCTATTTAAGGTATGAAGTTACAAACTACTTCATGAAACATCACTTGTTTTATAAAGAACTTAGTTACCAAATGCATTACAGTAATCTAATAAATCATTTTCAGAAACAAGTAAACGATTTCAAGGACATTTTAAGAATTTGCCTAGTACTATGTTTGCATCAGAAGTATCTAAAGTAAAAAAAAAATGATGGCAAAGACATGACAAACTACTTCAAGAAAAATCACTTATTTTAAAAACAACTTAGTTACCATATACATACAGTACAATGATTATCACGAAACTAATGTTATAGAATGCCTATTAAGATATTATTGCGCATGCATATTATTGAATTTTCATGATAAACAAATACTAAAATTTTATATTTCTTTATTTATATAATGCATGTATATTTCAGGAACATACACTGGCTATTAATGATGGAAAAGGGCTTAACATTACCTCGATGGCTGAGGTGAGATTTTAATTTAGAATACTTTTTTTAACTTCTTAAATTTAACCTGTATATATATTAATTAATTTGATGTCATCGTAATAATAGACCCATTTAGATTCGATGTTTTTTTAATATTTTGTCTTGTTTGAACCTCAAGATTGGGAACTACAATATGTCCTGTGATGGATTTAAATAATCAATTACAATATAGTTTTTTTATGAATAAAATGTGAAATTAAATTTGACTAAGGTAGTAAAATGTTTATACTCAATGATATAGGCCTATAAAAGTAGAGAAATGGTTCACTGATTCCCTGTCGAATGACTGTTGATAATAAAATAGTGGTTAACCATTTACATGAAATTAACAGTTTTACTATTTCTAAGAGTTAAATCAATTATTGTTTCTCTTTATATAGGCTTATGCTATAGCACATGAATCTAAAATGTTCAGAAAAGTGATGAGTGATTTTATTGCAAAGATGGATAAGGTGAATTTTTTTCTTACACACATAATAAATATATAATAATAATTAATTACGACATTATATGTAGGCCTACTGTAGTTCGAAAAGAGTTATAATAGCTGCAAATTAATGTCAATGGATAATTCTCTTGTGGACGAGGATTCAAATCCTAATTTTTCTCTCTCCACTGTTCTGTTTCTGTTTTTAGATCAGTGAAACGTACCACACAGATTTAATAGAAATTATGGAAAGTATAAAGAAAGTGCCACTGGAAGACTTCAAAAAAATGTGTGGTTCTTCTCCCAGTAAAGATTATGGAGATCAAGAAGCAGCGCTAAGAGAAGCGATTGAGAGTAAAATTCAGAATATCGTTTCTGATGTCAATTTGAAAAAAGTGAGTTATTTTTTAATTACTTTAGTAATATTCCTTTATGATGATGATAAGAGTAAAACGAACAACTACTATAAAACATAATGACAATAACGACAACGAAATCTCCAATGATAACAACACAACAAAATTAACACAGAACATATGGTTTTTCCAATATTCCATACTGATATGAGACTTACAATTAAATCCTAATCGTAAAATTAGTGTAATTAAAATAAAAGAAGTGGTTTGTGTTTCTCCCCGCCGTACGGAGTTCAATGCCAAGACTGTAGTAAACCTCAGCAATCGAAATTTGTCATCAGCTGAGAGGTCAGTACTCGTCCTAGGCTTGAACTTCGCCACGGCACCTTCAACTATACCGAAGGAAGAGATAGTCCAGCGAGTAGAACCTTCATTAACTGGTTAGAAAGACTTTAGCAGACAACATCCGTATGCAGATTTCTCAACTGCTTCGCCAGAACATCAGGCCGAAACCAAACATCACCAAGGATGAACGAAATGCTTCGAAAAGTCTCCGTGCTGATCCTACTATCCACATTTTACCTGCGGACAGGGGCAATGCAACGGTCGTCATGGATGTCGCCCAGTATAACGAGAAAATCTTGCATCTCTTGAACACCCCTACGTATAGGAGGATCAAGAAAGCCCGACTAATGCCATCGAAAGAATGGTTACAAGCAAGTTACTCGGACTGCAACGTTTGAAGGCCTGTCTCTTATACACATCTAGATGTGTATAAGAGACAGTGATAAGACTGCTAGTGAGAGACTAAAACAAAAGCCATTGTTCACGAAAACAAAACAAAAGGGTGGGAACGCCCAAAAAAAGGCATGGTTCCAGGGCGGAAAGTGGGTGGGAACGACCAAAAACAAAGGCATAGTTCCAGAAGGCGGGAAATGGTGGGCTTCGCCTGTTCCGGTTAAACATGGACAGCCAAATATCGCTAATGACAAATCCGATGTCTTGATGTACAGTACTGTGTTTTTGAATTTCGATGGCTTCTCTAGTCCTTCTGGAGTGCCAAGATGGTACGGTGGCTATTAGTTCGGCTTTGTCCCAATGTACACATGCAGTAACAGTGTCACTTCCAAAGCTTCTCTCCACCGTACGGAGTTCAATGCCAAGACCAGGCCCGTATCCAGGGGGTGCGTCTGGTGCGTACGCACCCCCTCCCCCAAATCGAAAAACGTCCACTAATTATAACAAAAAAAATGTGACCTTGTTCCCAGAATTATTATAAAATGAATTACATAACAGTACAGTATTAAGATTGTATGAATGCACAAATGAGTTACAATACGAATACTAGAGCGCTGACTCCACACGCGCAATCTTTTGTACTTCCAGCAACATAACACAACAAACATACACACGTTATATGCACGTTATCGTCTAGGTGTATCTTCCCCGAACTACCAGCCGGTATGTCAGTGTATAGGAATGAAGTCGTATCATGATGATCCTTTTATACAGTTTACCCCTTCATGGGTTCAATGGATAGATAGCGTATACATACAGTATCACTATGCTTATACCTCTGTATATGTTTTCTGTCGATGCCAAGAATAAAAATGTTTAAAATTTGTTTAAAATGCTTCTAGTTGTTTGAATCAGCTCATTTACAGTCGCTTTTAATCCACTCTTTATATCAAACTTTGCTATTATTCATTTAAAAGCAGAATTGATTTTGAATTTTTATTCGTAATGGTTACGAATTTATACAGTATTTTTCATTTGGGAAACAATTTGCTTGTTTCTCCATGTCCTCCACTGGTAATTTTTTGATAGGCCCTATCGCTGTGTTCACGGACATATAGAGATTAACATGATAAAATGCCTTCAAATTAGTCCACTAGGACGTAAGAAAGGAAATTTTTCCGGGGCCTCCGCCTCCTGGACCCCCACCAGGGGCCCTGGGCGGCCCTCTGACCCCCAGCCTGGTTGTGGTTGCTCGCTGCGCTCGCAAAACGCACCGCCCCATTCAAAAAGCTGGATAAGGGCCTGAAGACTGTAGTAAACCTCAGCAATCGGAATTTGTCATCAGCTGAGAGGTCAGTACTCGTCCTAGGTTTGAACTTCGCCACGGCACCTTCAACTATACCGAAGGAAGAGATAGTCCAGCGAGTAGAACCTTCATTAACTGGTTAGAAAGACTTTAGCAGACAACATCCGTATGCAGATTTCTCAACTGCTTCGCCAGAACATCAGGCCGAAACCAAACATCACCAAGGATGAACGAAATGCTTCGAAAAGTCTCCGTGCTGATCCTACTATCCACATTTTACCTGCGGACAGGGGCAATGCAACGGTCGTCATGGATGTCGCCCAGTATAACGAGAAAATCTTGCATCTCTTGAACACCCCTACGTATAGGAGGATCAAGAAAGCCCGACTAATGCCATCGAAAGAATGGTTACAAGCAAGTTACTCGGACTGCAACGTTTGAAGGCACTCTCGAAACCACTGTACCACCAACTCCAACCTTCGGCTTCCATATGCTCGAGACTATTCGGACAACCAAAAATTCATAAAGCGGACATTCCACTACGGCCCATCGTTTCTTTACGAGGATCACCAACTTACCCTCTCGCCAAGTATCTTGCCAGGATACTGTTTCCACTGGTAGCAAACACTGGTAACCATGTAACTAAACTCTCAACACTTTGTGAAGACCATCCGGAATGTTTACCTCGAATCTACAGACACTCTTGTTAGCTTCGACATCAAATCACTATTCACCAATGTACCTGTCGAGGAGGCTTGTCTTACAGCCAAACACCGTCTAGAAGAGGACCACACTCTCCAGGAAAGAACAGATCTAAACCCTCAACAGATTAACGATTTACTTTTACAGTGTTTAGTCTGCACTAATTTCAAATGGCTCGACCAGTTTTTCGAACAAACAGAGGGCACGGCTATGGGATCGCCTTTATCCCTAGTCATTGCCAACATTTTCCTCGAAGAGTTTGAACAACTAGCGCTTCTTTCAGTCACCAAACAACCAAAACTCTGGCTCCGATACGTCGATGGTACTTTTATCATTGGGCAACACAGTAAGGTGTACCTAGATGGTTTTATAGATCACCTGAATTCTCAGCACAAATCAATCATGTTTACTATGGAGGAGGAACACAATCGCTCTTTAACCTTTCTTGATGTTTTGGTAACCAGACCGGACGCAGGGACTTGGTCACATGCAGTTTATCGCAAACCAACACACACCGACAGATATCTAAACAAACGCTTGTTTCACCATCCGTCCACCAAGAAGGGAGTTTGTAACACACTCATCAAAAGAGCACATTGCATCAGCGACCACAACTCCATCCGGAGAGAAGTGCAACATGTTAAGGCAGCCCTTAAACTTAATGGTTATCACACGAGAGACATTGCTACACCCAGACCCAGCAATAGGCTAGGTAATGCAGACTCGAGAAAGTATGTGTGTTTACCATATTTGGTACAGCTTTCACACCGCATTCAACACATTCTATTACAAGCCGATGTCAAAGTGTTTCATAACGCACCCAACAAACTATCCCGAACTCTGCAAACACACAAGGAAAAACCACCAGCACAGAGTCAACTAGGAGTTTATCGGATCTCGTGCGAATGTGGGAAGGTTTACATTGGTGAAACAGGACGAGATCTCCGCACTAGGCTCAAGGAACACCAAGGCCATGCCAGGAGAGGGGAACAAGAAAAATCTTCTATAGTCATGCATTCCCACAGTCAACAAC